CTGTTGTCGAAACCATTGATCCATTTGTATCGACGGATCGGCGAATGATAATTAGCGCGCGGAACGCCGACGGGTTTTTACGGTAGTCGCTTCACTTTCTCGACTAGCGACCCACGAGATTAATCGACAAGAAAATAAGACTCGACCCTTTCCCACGAGATCCTTCATCCCGCGTTCCAATTTGTCGGACCGCGCGGACAACGCTTTCGGATTCCGAGAAAAAGCCAATTACGAAACGTACATTGATTTCACGGCGAAGCATTCAAAATCTTCTTCATATTTCGCGCGCAAGTAGCGCGAGAAAATTTACAGAGAGAACCCTAGATTATTCTCCAAGTACCTGCCACGAAGGCTTACCAAGGAGAGCCCCCATGGGCGAGGGACTGAGATTAAGCTCAGTCAGCTGAGGCCGAAGCCTTACCAGCGTTGCTTCCCGGGGATGACGAGTCCCATGGAAGTAGACTGTTGGTAGCGCCGAGTTACCTTTCCAAAAACTCTACCAGATTTCCTGTCTGGTCCAGGAGCAGGTGGGACGCTGCTCACGCGCCGAGACCCTCGAAAGGTCTCTGCCCAGCATGTAGGCTGCAACCACTGCCACTACGAATCCAACACCAATTGCACCGGCCGAGAGGACCCGGGGACAAGCACCCATGGTCACTCTCTGTGAGGGGACAAGGGGACTAGGCACCCTTCGTACGCCCTCATGGGCAACCGGAGCGCCCGTAGTACCAATCCAATCGCAGGTCTATTGGTAGGACCTGTCCGGCTTCTTACATACATGAATAAGCTGTGCCTGCCATATCAAGGTGTCTCGTCCACACCAAGGGTTGGTTAGACCCTAGCTAAGGAGCCCGGGGGCGCCACTCCCCGAACCGTGATCGCCACACGGCCCCTGGGGCAGCGAGAAAATTTACATCGGGATTCCTTTGCTTATTGTCGACTGAACGCAGCGAAGTTCACGGTGATGAAATTGCAACGATCCTCTATCCAATTTGACACGCTACAAGCCAATTCCGTGAATTGCTCGGTGGAACCGTAATTAAGTAAATTCAGTTGAATTCAACGGTTTTTGTTACAGTGTATAAAACCCAGACGAAAGTACATGAGAGGGTAATAATCTGTGTATATTGGAACTACAGTAATTAGGATTTGTAAGTTATTTCGTTAGTGATACGCGAATAGAATTATGCACTAGAGCATTGCGTTTGGTTAGTATATATTTAAAATTATTACTAGCGACCAGTCAAAGTGACTTTCCAACATTTTTCTATAGAAACTCGAAGGGTGCATCTGTTGAAAGTCCTGTGAACTTACAATTCAGTTTGAGTGTTGCTAAATAAATATCTTCAATCATTTCGAAGAGAATTATCTGTTATTTTTTCAATAATTGTAAGAAGAGAGACGGGGAATGGGTCAGTATGACTAGTTCGGTAACTCTAATGTTAATTTGGCGAGTATGAAAAGTTGTACATCGATGAGATTATTATCTAAGTAAATAATCTTGAAATATACGAGCGATGTATGCGGATAACGTGTTACGATCGATCAAACTAATTGGTTGCCTACGAAGTTCGGGGGTTAAAGTTCAAACGGGCACGCGTGACTTCCGCGTAAGTCGGTCACGAATGGTCCGCAGAGACAGTCTGGTCGCGATTGGCCCTGTTATTCTCAAGCGGCTTTCAGAATGTTCGCAACCTGTCTGTACACGTTTCTAAAACCTTTTCAGGTCCGCGTTACATGGCGCACCGTTGCGAAACAGTTACACCGAATTAACTGTGGGATGCGGTCGTGAATTATCGTGCCGAGGACCGGTACAATTGGTAAACCGGTTTTCGAGATTATTTTCCGCTCAAGTGAAACTGCTCATTAGTCGACAATATGGACCACGAAGTGTGGTGTTCGGTTACGTCGAACCCCGGATTACGGGTTTTATGCATTTTCGATGCATTCCGTTGAGCAGGGTACAATGAACAAAGAATTTGGCCTGTGTTGCAGAATATTGATGCACCATTTCTATTTTTTGCCTGATTTAATGTGTATGCAAATGGAAATGTTGCATGAAACATGCAGTAGGCGCGCTTATAAGGATACCCAGGAGCTTTGATGGGTGTTTCAGGGTGTTTGTTAACCATAAAACTTATTAAAGGGCACAGAAAATGTCATACTGAGTTTCTTTGGTAAAATCAAAGGATCAGAAGCCTAATTGGCAAGAAGTCTAACCTATAAGATAGAAATCTGAATAAATTCCAATGTCAGTTTAACATTCTCTTTTACTTAATAGAGATGCACATCCAGGTAGTAAGTTTTTATCCAATTCCTATTTTCATTAGTCAATATTTTAAACAAGTTTCTCTCCGTTAACGACATGAATATCTTCGAAACACAGCAGGATAGCGATTAACCAAGTCAGTCACTATTTCTCACAATCCAAATCGTTCAGAATCTCGATTATCCACAAAGTCAATCATTCGGATTTTCAAATGATACGTTAGTACACACGCGCAATCAAATTTTAATCATTCTGTTTAAAGAATCTTTTCTCGAACCTCCATGTATCTATACTGTTAACATTAAACGCACCGCGTCCGATCAAATAACCGGTTTTAAAACTTAATTTAATATTCTGTATCTTCCTTCGTCCATTTAACTTTATATCAATTCTTACCCCGTCATTAATCAGTTTTCTAATTTTCGCCATTACTTTTGCTTCCGTTTCCACTAAGAAAAGCGTATCCTTTAATCCTTGTTTACCTTTGCTTTATAACCAGTTATTTCACTGATTACGGTATGAATAGGTATGCCACAAAATGCCGGCACGTGTAGTATTAATAGCCCAAATAAATCGGATAATCGAGAATCTACCGTATGACAGTATTTACCAGAGGAAACAGAAAACTCGAATGCAATAGGGAAAAACTGAAGGGCCATAAACAGCGACGTCCACGGGTTTCGGCAAGTCCGCGAGCGAATCCGGACCGTTCGCGAAACGCGATCTCGTGAGTCAGCCACCCTCACCGACCCCATTCAATTTTTAAACCGAGCCGAATCGTCGGGGCGTGGACGCAGGGAGGCGAGAGTGCGGGGTCGATGGAACCGGGGTAGGGAAAAGGAAAGAGAGGTAGAAGAAAGAAAGTCGAGCGCGGAGGAGTGCAGGCGTGCATCGACGTTGAAACGCAATCGCGACGCGCCGCGATGCGCCCCGTCGGGATCAGAAATAGCCGGGCACCGGTAATAAAAGTTCTCGGAAGACGAACCCGTCGGCTGTCACCAATTACGGAGTTGTATAGGACGCAATGCCACGGACCGAAAATATTGGGAGTAATTGCCCGGGATCGTGTTACGAGGAATCGCGACACGCTAACTCGCGGCCTTTCATTAACCCCTTGCCTCGCAATAACGCGTGAGACTCGTGGTGACGATCTTAAACAGAATTTAACAAACACAAATATTACACAGTTCTTGTGAATTCAAATGAAATATTATTTTTTCGCTGTTACTTATTATATTATTACATTTCAGAGCAAATGTGAACATAGAATATGCATAGAATCTTTCTCTTTTTTCTATGTATTATTAATGACGAAGTTCTGTGTCGATCACAGTTGAGGAATAAATCATAGGGCAAGGGGTTAACGTTAGGGCTGCAGTACTCATCAAAATGACGGATTTTAGTTTTCTTGTTTTGCAATTGCAGTGGAATGATATGATATGAAACTGAGATTTTTCAGAAGAAACTGATACAAGCAGAAAACTTAGTTAATACAATTAGGATCAGTATACAATAAGAGAATTTCACACGAAATTTGTACGTTATAGGGGGTTCTACGGTATTTATATTTTCAAAATATTGAATATGAGATATGATGGAAATAAATAGTTTCACGTGCATACTATAACCAATGTCTGAAGAAATCGAAGAAAAACGTATTATTATTTTCAAACTTTCTTCCGTTCGTGTGAATACTTGGTAACATCGATATCGATTTTCATTTTTAAACATTTTTGTGTCGATTTTTGCTTCGAAAATGAAAAAAATGTACACGAAAACATTATAATACTAAAATTTGGATAAATGCGGACGTTTTGATTGCTTTTCCTCTGTTTCTATTCAATTTAAGGGTTCGATTGCTGTTATATGAAAAATGCAGCTTAGAATCATAGACTTCGGATTTTTCTCGAATTCAAATTTCCAAAAATATAATTACAAAATAAAATTCCGGTGGTGAATGGTTTTTTTTTTAACGAATATTGTAAAACGAGCTATACACTAGATATTTCATATATTTCTTCGTATCGTTCATCTATCCAGTTTTCGTCACAATAATATTTAATATATTAGTATCCGCATTATTTTATTAGTAAACCTTTCTAAGATCGCTATAATCAATTAAAATACAGAAATGTCATTGGTGCGATACATTCTCCGAGTACCGTGAACGATTTATTGGCACAAACACAAGCCGCCACTTGTCGTAGCAATTTCGCAATTACAAACAGTGTATCAGGATCAATCAAAATTACGCGAATGCCCAAGATACCCGAAGATACGACGCGTTTAATCTGCCAGCTGTTTCCCGTGAGCCGGTAATAACTGGAAACCGAGCAGGCGCGGTAAAAAGTAATTCAAGCCAGTTCAAAGAATCGGCGTGCATGCTCGACAGATAAAATGTTTTCTGAATGGGAAGAAAGAGAGTGTTGCGGAAGTGCGACGCAATAATAGTGTTGCATGGAAGGGGGAACAGGTGAGGAAGAAAGGAGACCGCAGGGAAAAATACGATAAGCGTGTCGTTCCGATAAATCTGCTCGGTTCAATAACTTTAATTACGAAACACCGAGCTATCGAGCTGGAGGATGATGCAAACAGGTTTGCGGGAATCACGCGTTATCGTGCCGATCGTGCCTTTTTTTCTACCCCCTCTCCCCGAACACGTTCCCTTTCTTCCACGTAGAAAAGCTAAGTGATTTCTCGTCGATAAAATGTCACCTCGAAGTCCCCCGTCCATTGTTCGATCGGTCCATCGACGTTCGATCACGATCTGCGTTGTTGCGATCGAAACATCGTCGCGGATACTACCGAACGCTTTCCCTTGTCTTTTTATTTAAGGAGTCCTTTGTTCTCGGTGGATTGAAAAAATCGATACTTGGTTGCAGCTTTTATTCGACGGTACTATCTTCTTCTCGATACCACTGGTAATTATTTCTGTGATCGTTATAGAATGATTCCTTCGGAATGGAATTTTTTTTCTTATATTCCTTTAAAATCGAAATTTGAAGAATAGACCATGTTCAGGATTAACTTTGTTTGCATGTTTCCGTTAATTCTTTTTACAGTTGTTTTTAAATAATTTGAATATCTATAATTAAATATTTGATATTAATTAATACAAACAGAATTATGTATATATCTCAAGAATAAATTTAGCATAATAGTAACGTTATATCACGTTTCCTTTCGATCGATATGAATTAATATGGATATTCGTAATAATGACGTACTACAATTAATATTCATACATGCTAAATTTAATGCAAATTACTCGCGACAGGCCCGACTCGATTTTTAAGGTAAGAATTTCAATTACGGACAACAATGGGTCACGAATAATCATTAAAGATGCATCGTTCCCAGTTTTTGTTCGAAGCCGACCCATCCACGAGCGCAGAAACGTGAGGTCGAAGATCTGAATCCCAATAAAGCGGAAACAACACTCGTCGCCGCTGTTCGTGGCCAAACATTGTTTTAAAATTCTAACGAGACCGTCGGCGTGTGTTTATCAAAGCCTCTTTCCAATGACCGTGCAAAGTACACGCAGGCGAAGTGAGATTCCTTGACCTGTGTATGCACCTGTGTTAATTCATATTGCGCGCGAAATACGTAAACACGATTTCCGTCGATCCGTCATTCTCTTTCGTAATCGGTCGATGATTCAGTAAATACTTCGACCACTATGACTCTTCTTTAAATATTTTCCAAAGTCATCGTTGCAATATTATAATATTATGTACTTCATAACAATAGCAGCACAGACATTTTAGATCTAGCAATAAACACTTTAGTAACAATTTTCTAAATGTACAAAGTAACTTCGTATTATTTTCTAACATACAATTTTACAAAGTAGAAACGAGCAAATAGTAATAGAAAAATAATATCAACAAAATGTGTGTGCCGTAAACGCACGCGAAATAACCTGACACATCGAAATACTTGACACCGATCGAAATTCGTACAATCCCTCAATATTAGACACTTCTTCACGGTTTACGCTTTACGGGGATTTTAAGAGGGCAGCTCTAAAAGTTCCCAAGTTCCTTGGATATCTATCCCGCACCTTCTTCGACAAGAAGTTACACCGTTCGAAGCGTTTATTGCAGTCTCTTGAAACACTTTGCCTCAGAAGTTTCGGGATTCCCGAAGACGGTCCGCGGAGGCGTCTTCGAGAAGCTCTCGATTTCGTCACGGAGGTTGATTCGCGAGCTGTGAGAAGCGTACCTGGTTGCGAGTTGCTTTCTGTCCGAGTCGTGACAATACCGTTACAGAGATAAGTGTAAGGCTGCACAGTAATTTCAACGAAACCAGTAGAAAACAAGATCCTGAGACCATACGAATCCCAATATCATCCTTGAATAAGCTTCTCACTGCAGTATAGGCTTGTCTAACACGGCTGACCCTTTGGGATCACTACATTTCCTTGTTGGCATTACTGAATACATTCAATTTTATTTTTACACTACTTGCATTCGTGTTCAAACGAATTATTTTCCTTTCTTTACACAATTTGTTTTGATTCAATTACGAACAAAAATTCATTGTATCACTTTGCTTTCATATAATTTTAGTAATTTATTTATTTTTATTTAACGGTATATCGTATTAGTTTAGTAGGTCAGAATTTTTCGTAGGTTAGAAGTCAAAGTGGATTTCTGTTGTTGATAGAAACATATCTGTCATGTAAAAACGGAATTGAGTGTAATCGAAGCAAGTTTATTTTAAAGTTCTTTTTGCAAAGGTGATATGTGAGTAAATATATACACATTAGAAAACACACATTATTTTGAAGAAATATGTTGCGTTAATATTACTTATAGTGTATACAGATACAGAAAATTGTATTTTCATTACACCTCTCGATCGTAAAATAACACTTATGTTCTGAGAAAAAGATCATTTTACCATCAGTCGCCAATATCGAAGAGAAATTTTCAATGCCGCCAGTCAGGCGACATCGATCGCAAAAGTTAATATGTAATGCGTTGTATGAAATCATTCCACAAGAAACCGTGTTGTACAAGGAAAATTCTTGTACAACGAATAATACACTCGTAAATAACATATTTGAGATGTTTATTGTCAAGCTGTACTATGTTCGACTGAAGTAAATAAAGAAATTTCTTTACAGTATCCCACATTGAACAAAAATTTACCGTATTTCATCAAACTCGCCAAACGTAGAAATTTAGCAAAAGTCAACCTCAGAATATCGGATCAACCCATAAACACCAGTTTTCGCACACTTGTATTTCAGACAACGAAAATAAACAAAACGTTTCTTAATCTCATTACAATCTACACATCAACAATCCATACACAATACAGAGTAATATAATTTCAGATAAAAGAAGTTCACCTCATCTTAATTGAAAAAAATAAAAGAAACACACAAAAGTCATTTTATTTATAGAATAATTCAATAATAACTTGGAAGACATCAGTTTTAGACTAAACTTATAAGAAGGAGATCGTCGAGGAACTGGACAATCATTCGAAGCTCGTGTTCTTCGAGGAACGAAGCGGACACGTTCGAAGGGGTGAGAATCGGCCGGCAGAGGGTAGTATTGATCGTTCGCCCGAAAACATTCGCTCTCGACGACCGAGTTTTTTCCGCGCAGTGGACGGGGAGCACGGAACGAAAGCGGAAAGAAACGTCCGCGATTTTTGCATGCGCGCTTCCGTCCGGGGGAAGGGAAAAACGCGGATGGAGGAAGAAACGATCCGGCGGCGGAGGGTGGCCGTTATCTTGTTAAGCGGACCCGGCACGGAGTTGTCTCCGGACTGGAAAATACCTACGTGACGAGCGTAACGAGATAAAATTACGCGCGGGGCCGGGAAAACGCCGCGATATCGCCCTGGTTTTTGCTCCCGCGGCGACACATTTCGCGACCCGCCGCCGCGGACTCGCTTGTTAACGTTTTTTCGACCCTTGGAATTGCCGCTCGTTACCCTCCTCGGACGCTGTCTGCGCGATAAATTGCTGCTGTTCGGTGCTTTCGATTGTTTTATTGATTGCGGCGCACTGGTACCTTTATTTTGCCGAGGAAGAAGAATCGGGATTCGATCGGGGTGGTTTTTGCATGTATCGAAAGCTCCGGTAACTGGAGAGATTCAACGTGCTCGTGGTACGCGTGACTGTTCGAACTTTGGTGTTCCGTAGACAGTCTGAGGAAGGTTGATGCGATTTGAAATTAATGGTTGGTGTTACTGAATTACAATCCTTGGTTCGTGGATGATGGAGTAGGGAACTTTCGGCGATGCTAAGATTCTGAATTTTTGGATCTTTGATTTTTAGGAGATTCGGATGGAAGAAGGAATTGTCACTACTCTGGAGTTCTTTAGGATGAAAATAACAGTTGAAAGTTAATATCTATTTGTCTGGAACCATTGCCTTGGAAATTTGTAATTTAAATCATTGGAAACAAATTTTACACTAGGCGTGTAATGCAGTATCCACTAAAAAATTCTAATGACGCATAAATAAAATAGAAAATAATGGCGTGTAAAGATTAAAAAACTTGTATTGGTTTCAAGTTGAAACGTAAAAAACCTTTCCTAAATTTTCTATATAAGTCGAGAAAGAGTTTTGACTCTTGAGGACTGTCTTTCAAAAATATCCTAGGCACTAATGTTTTAAAGAAAAGAAATCTCGAAGACATGTTTATCGAAATTTGTCGTGGATTTTCGTAAAGAAAAAACTTTAATTCAATGAAGTTTGGGAGTAGCGAAGATTCGTTTAGCCAACAATTAGAAATTAGAAGTTTCCCGTTAATTAATGCAGTATCATCTGTAATTCTTACCGCGGAAGGTACTTGTTTAATTTTTAATAGCGGGGACACGCTCTCGACTCGTCTGGAGGAATCTCGCCCCTTGGCAGGGGTCGCGCTCGGCACGCCCCTTCGCGGAAACTGCAAACGAGCCGGGGAATAAACGGTGTTATCGCGGCCGCGTAGATTATGCCCGACTATGGAATACTTGGGAAGTTTAAGCGTGTTCGGGGCGCGCAAAATTTCGAGCGGTCGCCCCGTACTTCTCGCTGAAGATAAATCCTCCAGATACGTGTACGCTGGGTGTCTCGCTGTGTGGAGCGGATTCAGCGCACTAACACGAAGGAAAGGGTGACCTTATTTACCAGCTACAACTTGCAGAAGTTGCTTAACCCACCTCCAGAGAAATTGTTCTACGCTCTTCGGTTATTTTATTGTTCGGAGGAAACTCATCATTTCTCACACGGAGGATAAAGTCGAAAAAGGGATGAATAATAATGATGAAAAATTAAATCGGCAATGAATCTTCGATAGCTTACCCGAAAAGAAAAACATTATGCACTGCAATTCTACTCCTACCTCAGCCAGGAGAACAACAACAGAGGATATTCAAATTAAAACGATCCCTTCATATCTTCCCTACTTAATGCAGAAATTTGCTTAAACTTCCGTCGCCAATCGGACAGCGAGTTTTTCCAATTTTCATTGAAAATCCTGGATGAGAAAAGTCGGGGCAAACACCGAGGAAACTATTACCTTCGAATTTGAAAAATAAATCGTAGCTCCGAAACAAGGTCACACAGAGTACACATTCACAGTTACCATTTCTTCACAGGATCTCCTGAATCTACCCTCACTTCCCACACAAGATACCCGGTGTGTATATTCTTCTAGAGGAATGGGCGGGGGTGGCACCCCTAGCTCGATCAATTGCGCGCGAAGTAGAAGTCTGCCGGGCTACGGTGGTTAAAGTTACCCTCCTCAGTCACGCCCCGGGGTTCGACGACCTCGCGTGCCGCGATCCGAAAATTACCGAGGACGGAAAGCGCAGCCGTGGCGCGCGCCGTCACACGAAATATTTCTGTTCCCAGTCTCCGGCGAACTCGCTTGTTAATTTCGCACGACCGATCGATCGCATCGTCCAGGGTCGCCTGTTAAAACCCACCCCCAATCCTCTTCTCGCCTACGTCATCCCCGTGTCCTTGAGGAACCGACCCTACCGTGGCTCGCTGCTGTCTAAACACCGTGCCGGGGATCCCGCGGAGATGCGGGGTCCGACGATGTTTCCGCTCCCGGAATGACGGACGATTATTGTTTGCACGGCAGGAAGCAAATAGAACGGCGTTGTTCCGCGTCTTTTCGGTCGTCCTGGAATTCGATTAAGTGGATGACGCGTGCGTAATTTCGTTGAATCCTGAAGGGGCGATGCTTCGTCGCGAGATAAATGGAATATAAATGGAATATAAATGAAACTCAATCATTGAAATATAAAATTTGAATGTAAATTAAGTTCGATGATATAAACATACAACTTCGATGTAAATGAAATTGAATAATACAGATACCAAGCTTGGATAAAAAATTGAATTCTATGATATAAATATAAAGATTGAATACAAGTTAAATTGAGTAATAAGCTTGGATAATGAACTTGAATAGAAATGTCCGTGGAGCGATTAAACTCCTCTTTTTAATTTCATTTTGTTGCTTCGATCGGAATTCTCCAAGTTCACCGATGTTTTGTTCGAGAATGAATGGGCGATCCTTGCGTTCGTCGCAGCAGTAAAAAAAGGAAAGTATGCTCGACGGTTCGAGAAGG